GCGAAGGAGTGGAGGGATTTGAAGAGATGGGTGAGGATCTTGAAATTGATCCTCTCTGGGACAGGCAGCTAGTGCAGTCTGTCGAGGACTGGGGTGATCGGGGAGCGGAGTTTGGTGCGGGTGAGAATGCAGGTGGCAGAGTTTTGAATAACCTGGATTTTATGGATGGTAGTGGCAGGGAGACCGGCAAGGAGGGTGTTAGAATAGTCCAGCTGAGAGGTGACAAAGGCATGGACCAGGGTTTCAGCAGCTTTCGGAGAGAGGTAATGGTGGAGACGGGCGATACGTCGGAGGTGGAGGAAAGCAGTCCTGGGGAGGGACCGGATGTAGGTGAGGAAGGATAATTGGGGGTCGAATCTGATGCCTAGGTTGCATACGGGTTCCGAGAGATTTAGGGGGAGGTCGGGTAGGTGGAGGAGGTGAGAACTGTGAGATTTTAGACGTTGACGAGAGCCAAAGAGTATTGCTTCTGTCTTATCAACGTTCAGCTGAAGGAAATTTGCACTCATCCAACCATTGAGGTCTGACAGGCAGGCTGACAGAACATCAGGGGATTGGGGGTCACAAAGAGAGGTGGAAAAATAGAGTTGGGTGTTGTCCGCATACGTGTGGAAATGTACTCCATGTCTGCGGATGACATCTCCAAGGGGGAGCATGTAGATCAGAAAGAGGAAGGGGCCAAGGATTTTATGCTTGGGGGACCCCGCAGGTAACCGGGTGTGAGCGGGAGGAGAAGCCGTTTGTGCAGATGTACTGCTGGCGGTCTGTGAGGTAGGACTCGAACCAGGCGAGTGCGGTCCCACTGAGGTGGATGACGGAGGAAAGGCGGTGAAGGAAGATGGCGTGATCGACTGTGTCGAATGTGGCAGAGAGGTTCAGGAGGACAAGGAAGCAGAAGGACCCCTGGTCACAAATAGAGAGGATGTCGTTTTTGACTTTCACAAGCGCAATCTCTGTATTGTGAGCAGGGCAGAAACCGGATTGGATGGGTTCAAAGAGGGAGTCGGAGGAGAGGTGTGCGCGAAGTTGATTGGCAACATCCAATACCAAGCTAGGCAGGACCAACCTAATCAAAGTTAGGAAAGGTAATAGGCACATGATAGGGGGATGTAGTGGGTAGAGGGTAAGGTCAGATTTCTTCTCACTTTGCTCCTGATGATCCTGCAAAGCAATGCTCTAACGGTAATCTTTACTGTTTATTAGTGAGTACTGGAAAGTGAGTACTAGTTAGTTACATTCAGCAAACTGTAAATGTGAACCTGGGGTTGCCCAATGCCTTAGGTTTTCTAACACAGACTTAGTGTCCGTGGGAAAGATCGGGCACTCCAGAAGATGAGGCATCACAAGACTCCAGCCATCCAGCTTCGCTCTTTCCTCTCCCCCCATTCCCTCTATGAATCCCTCCAATTGAGTTTCCATGCTGCCACAGTACAGAAACAGCCCTGGTCAAAGTCACTAATGACAGTCTGTCCATCTGCGACCAGGGCTCTCTGCCTCCTTGTCCTCCCCAACTTTTCTGCTGCCTTCGATACTGTGAACCATTCTATCCACCTCCATTGCCTCTCAGCTCAATGTTCACAGACCTGCCCTTGCGTGGTTCAAATCCTACCTCTCCCACCGTCTCCACTTTGTCTCCACTAATGGCTTCTCCTACAGCCCCCTCACTGTTATATATGGGTTCCTCAGGGCTCTGTCCTTGGTCCCCTACTTTTTGAACATTTACATGCTCTCTCTTGGTGACATCATCCGTAGGCATGGGATCAGCTTCCATATGTATGTGGCTGACACCCAACTCTACCTCTCTGTCTACACCCTTGATTCCAGGACCACTGCTGTCCTCAGAGACTGCCTGTCGGACATCAAGTCCTGGATGAGAGCAAACTTCTTCTAGCTAAATGTCAACAAGACCGAGACCCTTCTGCTTGGCTCCCATCAGCGCCTCCGAACCTTGGGTGCTGACAGCATCACCTTTCATAGATGCACTCTACATCTCATCGAGCCAATACGGAACTTCCACATCCTGTTTGACCCTCAACTGTCCTTCATCTCCCAAGTCCCTGCCATGACTTGCTCTGCCTTTCTCCATCTCCGCAACATTGTAACTTGGAAGAAGTTACCCCCACAATCCCTAACCGATGCCTTGGAGTCCTCTGAACTCCTCTCCCTCTGGCCTTCAACCCTCACCGACCCCTCTTCTCCTCTCTCCCTCCTCCACAATATCCTCTCCTCCACACTCGATACTCTTGCCCCCATCACTTCCCGCACTGTCTCCTACTCCCGCTCCTCCCCCTGGTACACCACCCACCTCTGCTCACTGAAATGCCAGGTGCGGGCTGCTGAGCGCACCTTTGTCAAATCTGGCCTAACGGTCCACCGACAAATCTGGCTGGACCTCCTCAAAATTTACCGCTCCACTCTAGCCTCGGCCAAGTCGTCCTTCTACTCCAGGATAATCCTGGAGGCGAAGAACAACCCCAGGCTACTGTTTTCCACCACATCCCGACTCCTCCGTCCACCCCGCCACCCCGCGCAGGTCATCTCCTCCAACCTTCACTGCGAGGAGATGCTGGATTTCCTTGAATCCAAGATCAAGGGAATCCGCTCCGCGGTCACTTCCCCTCCAACTTCCACCCACCACCCACCCCTTCCCTCCCACACTCCGACTCCTACCCATCCTCCCCTACACACCTTCGTACCCGTTTCCCCACCCTCTGTCACTGAACTCATCCTATCCCTAAAACCAACCACCTGCTCCCTTGACCCCATCCCCACTCCACTCCTTATCTCCCAGCTCCATTTTCTTGCCCCACACATCACTGACATCATAAACCTGTCCCTCTCCTCTGGCTCTGTCCCCATTCCATTAAAAACTGCCATCATCACGCCCACCCTGAAAAAACCCTCCCTTGATGCGTCGCAGCTATCAAGCTACCGGCCCATCTCCAACCTCCCCTTTCTCTCCAAGGTCTTGGAAAGAGTTGTCGCCTCCCAACTGCGCTCTTTCCTTTCCACCCATTCTCTTTTTGAACCCCTTCAGTCAGGTTTCCGTGCTGCTCATAGCACAGAAACTGCCCTGGTCAAGGTCACCAATGATATCCTGACCATCTGTGACCAGGGCTCCCTCTGTCTCCTCGTCCTCCTCGACCTATCGGCAGCATTCGATACGGTCGACCACGCTATCCTACTCCACCGCTTGTCCTCCCACCTCAACCTTCAAGGCACTGTCCTTGAATGGTTTAGCTCTTACCTTTCCCACCGTCTTCACTTCGTCTCAACGAATGGCTTCTCCTCCACCCCCCGTACTGTCTCATGTGGTGTCCCTCAGGGCTCTGTCCTCGGTCCCCTCCTCTTCACCCTCTATATGCTCCCCCTTGGTGACATCATCCGCAAACATGGGGTTAACTTCCACATGTATGCGGATGACACCCAACTCTACCTTTCCTCCTCTACTCTCAACTCCACGACCACCGATGTCCTGACAGCCTGCCTGTCCGACATCGAGTCCTGGACGAGAGACAACTTTCTTCAGCTCAACGTGCGAAAAACCGAGGCCCTCCTGATTGGCTCACGTCAGCGCCTCCGCACCTCAGGCGCTGACACCATCAGCATCCAAGGCTGCACTCTCCACCTCTCAAAGCCAGTCAGGAACCTCGGCGTTTTGTTCGACCCTGAGCTGTCCTTTCTCCCTCACATCCGCACCACAACTGGCACCGCCTTCCATCACCTCCGGAATATCGCCAGATTACGGCACTACCTCACCCCTCACGCTGCTGAAACCCTGGTTCACGCCTTTGTCACCTCAAGGCTGGACTATGGGAACTCTCTCCTCGCCGGCCTTCCCGCCACCTCCCTCCACAAGCTGCAGGTCATTCAGAACTCTGCAGCTCGTGTACTGTCCCGCACCAGGCTTCGCGACCACATCACTCCCACCCTCGCTCGCCTCCACTGGCTCCCCATCCCCCAGAGGATTGATTTCAAGATCCTCATCCTCACCTACAAGGCCATTCACGGCCTTGCTCCCTCCTACCTCTCCAACCTACTATCCCCCTACCTACCTGCCCGTACCCTCCGTTCCTCTGGCTCCGGTCTGCTCCACGTCCCCCGCCCCAACCGCCCTACTATCGGTGGTCGGGCCTTCAGCCTCTCAGCCCCAGGCTCTGGAACTCCATCCCCCAGTGCCTTCGCCTTGCTTCCTCCCTTTCCTCCTTCAAGGCCGGTCTCAAAACCTTTCTCTTTGACCGTGCCTTCAGCTCCCCTCTCGACTCTCTTCCTCCTCCTCGCTCCCTCCCTTCCCTCCCCTCACCCTGACCATTTCCCCCTCCTCTCTCCCTCCCTTCCCTCCCCTCACCCTGACCATTTCCCCCCTGCTCGGGTCATGACCCAACTGTGCAGCGCCTTGGGACGTCCTCCTGACGTGAAAGGCGCTCTATAAATGGAATCTTGTTGTTGTTGTTGTTGCCCGGCTCTGCCACTGTCTCTCACCCCAGGCCACCAAGACCCTCATCCACGCATTCATTACATCCAGGCTCGATTACACAAATGCCCTGCTTATCGACCTCCCCAACTCCTCCCTCCACAGGCTGCACATCATCAAGATCTCTGCAGGCCATATTCTATCGTGCACCAGGCTCCGCGACCCTATCACCCCCATCCTTGCCTGGCTCCACTGGCTCCTTCCGCGGCCTCCCTCCTCCCTACCTCTGTGACCACCCAATTCCCTATCAAACTGTCCGCTCCCTCTGCTCAGTGGGCTTCGGCCTGCTTCACGTCCCCCGCCTCGACCACCCCACCTTGGGACATACTCCTGAAGTGAAAGACGCTAAGGAAATGTAATTTTGTATTTCTTTGCATTTGTATGAAACTGCACAAATTCCTACCTTCACGAGAGGAAATGTATGGTCAAACAATTATAACCCAAATTACAAATGTAAATTAGTTTGGATTTGACATGCTGGGTAACTACAGTGTGTAGAGGTCAATAGTTCTGAACACTCTGTTACCTGGTATCTGGTTTGAGCAAGGTCGTAGATCTTTTTCTGAGACACCAGTTTAGGAGCAAAGAAGCTTGCGAGTTTGACAAGATAGACTCCATTTCGTAATGCTTCTTCGAGTTCTGTGGTAGGGGGCAATTCTTCATTCAAGCAAGCTTCTATCCACCTGGAAGAATAAAATTAAAAAATTACCCTTAGTGCACCTCATTTATATGTTGTCTATAAATACAGTCTTAGCAGCAATTTCCTGTGCAGCACTTAGGGATACAGTAAAGCTCACATAAGTCATATCAGTCGGACTATTTAATATGATATACACGAAGTTCGAGTTGCAGACAAACTTGTATAAATCGTTCTAAAATCTGGTTTAATCAATAATCCACACTCAGCACGTGTAATTCAATGCAGACGGTTAGTCTGCATGCGGTCGTTTGTCACTACAGCCAATGTGTATGCGTTGACGGTTGAAGACTACATTTCCCGCGACTCAATGCAGCCGACCAGTAAGTACACATATATCAATGGGTCAGGATGTCATTTCCTGAGATTCAATGGAACCAGCAGTAATGGAGGGAGTAATGGAGGGTAGGGGAGTGGTGTTCTGAGTTAGGAGATGATTAATACGACTAGTGCAAAGAAATCTAAGGAAACTGAAGGGGACACGGGTTCACGTACGGCTTAGGCGATTATACGATTTATAAAGATAAGACTTATGCGAGTTTTACTGTATTTACCATTATAGGCGCTATACCAAATGCAAAGATTCATATTAGATTTAATGAAACCTACTGCAGCATTCAAAGTGGCAAGTCTGGTCAAAGATTCATCCCAAAGTTACATATAATTATGATTAATAAAACTATATATCTTGTATAAAATCCTTTCCATCCTGTCATCCCTCATCTTGTGGAGTCCTGGAGTCTGTGGTTAAAGCACTCATCTCGCAAGCGAGAAAGCTGGGTTCGATTCCCGGCAGGGCGAAATGTTGGACAAGTTTCCTTGCTCCACATGCCTGTTTACCTGGCAGTAAGTAGGAACCTAGTTGTTAGTCGACTGGCGGATCACTTTCCCTCAAGAAAAAAACAATAATAATTTGGTCATTCAATCCACGACTATTTGTGACTGTTTGTGGCATATACATACATAGTCAATTCACTATACAGTATATTCTGTGAAACTCTTTGTGACATCTTGAAGACGTAATAAGGCACTATATCAAATGCAAGGATTTTATTATTGTCTTCTCCAATATTATCAAAAACACATGCTCCCCCTTATCATTACAATGGTAGCCAACCAAATAGTCCAGCAGTACCAAGAGCTGAGCACTGATACATAGCAACATGGTGAGGGAGAGCCAGAAAGACAATCATTCACTGTTTGTGTTAAATCTGAGTTGTGCTAGGCAGAGAAACAAAGAACATATGGGGACTTCCAGGTGATGGTAGTACTTAGCACCTTCTTACTGCCAGAGGTTTACAGTTCTAATTGAATTAGCAACAGAGATTCAAATCCAGCCAGATGCAACATTAAAATAAATGGGGATAAAGCACAAAAACAGCTCTCAACAGCAACCAAGTTTGGAGTCCTGTAGCTCAGTGGTTAGAGAACTCGCCTCTCAAGCGAGAGACCTGGGTTCGATTCCCGGCAGAGCGAAACCTTGGACAAGTTTCCTTACTCCACACACCTGATAATAATCCTTCAAAAAAACAATAATAAAATGGGTGACTTCAATTCCAATCCACGACTGTTTGTGGGACAATTGGCTGCTGCATTTCCCCCTCAAATATACAGTCAATTCACTTTACAGTCTATTCTGTGAAGCACTTTGAGATGTCTAGAAGATGTGAAAAAGCGCTGTATCAAATGCAAGGATTATTATTATATGAGAATCAGAACACTGAAACTTCAGCAATGCAAAGAGCAGGCATATAGAGAAAATTGCAATATTCCTAAACATGTGCCATTCCTTATCTAAGGAACATAGTTAAAATAGGTTTGAAATACCCCACTCTCCACCCCCACCCCCCGAAGAGGTGGTGTCCAAACCAGACAGAAAAGCCATGGGGACAGTTATATTGGATTCCTGCTTAGCTCTGAAAATGACTTATTCAGGTGAAACTAGCTTAATTCAGATGACTTTGGTATCTCGTAAATAATCCTGGAGAGGGAGTTTTCAGTTCCTCCAACAGAGAGGGAGGACTTTCTGAAATCTTTGGATACAACAAGCAGTTGCATACCAAACCCACATTCCCAACTGATCTTGTTCAGATTTCCTCAGGAAATCAGAATGAATGAAGCAAATTGGAGAATAGATCAACCATCTCTCACAGTACTTGGTAGGGCCTCAGTACAGGCTGCCGAAACACCCTTTCAAAATAGTGTTACATTTTGCACAAGCTATAGTAAGGTTGACATATCAACAGTAAACCAAAAATAAACTACCCTTTCATAGTAAAGTAAGGAAACTTACAACAATTATATCAATTTACAATATTTCTGATTTCTACACTAATGTTAACAAACATTTCTATAATAAGACCTTGTATAATTCCAGTTACTCAAAAGTTGTAAAGTGCCAGAACTGGGAAGCAGAAAGACCAACATTGCAAATTCCAAACATAAATAACCAAAGTAATTGTGTTAGGAAATGTTTGTTTTCAATAAACCAAGTGATAGGCTGAGCCAGGCTTTCAACCAGACTCAGTCATATACTAGGCAGGTGCTCTTCACAACATTCAGAGACTTATGTAGTTTGTTCTCTATAAAAGGCCGAGCTTTCAAGTTCATCCAATGTTTTACATCAATACTTCAGCCATACTTAGTGAGCGGTTGTAGACAGAGACGTGGCCGAGGTCAAGTGAAGTGGTCCAAAACCAACAAATTAATTTGAAAACCTATTTATATAAACAGGTTTAAACAGAGGACACAAATCAGGAGCAAGTGGTCCAACAATGTTTTACTCTGGTTCTATGGTGGAAAGAGGAACTATTACTTAGAATAATAGAAATTTACTGCAAAGTCTGCGCTGGCTCTTTTGAGGAGAGATGGTGCCTGTCTGCTCTCCCCAATTCTTTTCTTTTTTTGTGAAACTCCAACTCATATTACAAGCACAACTTGTATTTATTTCACGTGGGCTAGGATCCCGGAGTGTTTAACAGTGGTGTAGGCTGACACTGAACTGGGAAGAAGGGGGGAGGTGACTGTAGGCACACTTGAAGCGGAAGGTCTTCAGTTTTGATCTAAAACATATAAGGACGTGGAGGGATTGAGACAAGAGTTCCAAAGTTTCATAGCATAGTGGCTGAAGGCACAACAATAACGACAACAAAATTACATTTATAGAGCGCCTTTCACGTTAGGAGGACGTCCCAAGGCGCTAAACAGTCAGGTATCGGGCCCCAAGCATGGGGGAGGGTGGTGGTGTAGGGGTGAGGGAAGGCAGAGAGGTGAGAGGGAGACCAAAGGCACGGTCGAAGAGAAGGGTCTTGAGACCGGCCTTGAAGGAGGCAAGGGAGGAAGCGAGGTGAAGAGACCGTGGGATGGAGTTCCAGAGTGTGGGGGCAGAGAGACTGAAAGCCCGGCCACCGATGGTAGGGCAGGTCGGCCGGGAGCCATGGAGCAGGCCAGAGCCCGCTGAACGGAGGGAATGGGCAGGTTGGTAGGGAGTCAGAAGCTCAGAGAGGAAGGCGGGGGCAAGGCCATGGATGACCTTAAATGTGAGCACGAGTATCTTGAACTCGATCTTCTGGGGGATGGAGAGCCAGTGGGGTCGGGCGAGGGTGGGGGTGATGGGGTCACGGAGCCTGGTGCGCGAGAGTACACGAGCTTTGGATGATCTGCAGCTTGTGAAGGAAAGCGTTGGGAAGGCCGATGAGGAGGGAGTTACCGTAACCGAGCCTTGATGTGACGAATGTGTTGGTGAGGGTTTCAGCAGCCTGACTGCCGATAGTGGAGCGGAGGGGGCGAGAGACATGCATGAAGCAGGAGCCAGATGAGTGAAGGGAGTGGATAGAGGAGTGGGTATAAATAGGGTGTACTAGGCGTAAGAGTAGTTCTCCAGGTCCTGGATATTCTATTCAAATCTCAATTCCTTCCTATGTGAGCAAATAGCACAATGTGCTGGCAAGCTATTGATCAGGGCAACTTGTGGCCCACGGGGCCCATGCGGGCTATATTATGGATGCGTAAAATGGTTATACAGGCGATCCATAGGCCGCAGATTGGCCATCCCTACACTGATTATGGGGGACGCAGCAAACAAATCCTATTGTGTTCTCTCCTGATGTTCACAGGTTCACCCAATCCAGCGGAGCCATTGGAGAGTGATCGGAAGCTGATAATTTGTTTTCTCCTTCTCCGGAAGTGGGAAGGTTGCTGCATTGCTGGAGGCACTGTAGTTCACATGAGATGTTATAACTAAGGTCTGTTGGCCTGTTTTCCGGTCATGTTAAACAATCTTGTTTCGCAATTCAAAAACCTAACTTTTCCTCTCTCTCCCTCATCCCACTATCCTGGTCTACTATCTTTCAGATAAATTGATCATTCACTTCATGGCTATTTGTGGGGCTCTGCCTGCAGGGCGTGTTTACTTACAATAACAGTCACTTCACTTTACAGTAGTCTATGAAATGCTTTGAGATGTCAATTTGATCAAGCTCAAGAGTAATGCTGAATGCTTTGTCTGCTCGGGAACACAGAGCTCAGCTACAAACCAGCGAAAATTTCATAGGCAACACCTGAAAATGGCAACAAACAAAACTAATTTTAGCAACTGTGTGGCCCAATCCTTCCTTATGAAGCATTGTTTTGGTTTCTTCTCTTTCATTTCAAAAGGTACTTTTTTCTGTTGCTGTTGATTGTCACATGCTGAATTTCAGTCTGGCCAGAAGATGTCAGTGTAAAGAAACCTGGGATGAAATCAGTCAAATATACATAAATAGGTTAATCAGTGCTTACAATGCAGCAAGGATCCGGTTATCTACACCACATTGGACCTATAAAAGAGGGTTGGACTCGGGGTCAGCCTCAGTTAGCAATCCAGCCGATTAACAGACGAGCCCTGCCTACTCAGCATTTGCATTGAACCGTGGCTCTCCAAAGTACTGCAAGTGAGCCGGTAAGGTACTGAAGGAATGAGACCATCTATGTTGAGAGAACAATCCG